TGTTTAGACTGGATTTGGCATTTTTATCTATCTATTGAGTCCTTCCCAAGGACCTGGGATAAGCAGATGTTGTTGTTTGATGGTTTGATAGTGTTAAAGGTATCGTTGCAGGATATAAGTTGTTCCAAGTAAAGCTGCCTTTGGCAACTGACTGGTGGTGATTTTGTCAATGCCAATGGTGTTCAAGTGGTGCTCCAGATGTTTTGGGGTTGCACCTAAGGTGCCTATTACTATTGGTACTATCTTTGCTTTTTTTTGCCATAGTCGAAACAACTTCTGTTTGCTGATTATTATTATTATTATTATTATTATTATTATTATTATTATTATTACTACTACTACTACTACTACTACTACTACTATTACTATTCACTTAAGCATGACCATAACAAAGTAGACAAAGCAAGGTAAAAAATGATGTAAGCTGAATCAAAGTTGGACACAAGGATATTGCACAGTGGCATGACATTGACAAACAAAACCAAAATTCTGGAATCTCCCACACTGAAAAATGTCTCTGAGCATACAAAGAAGAGGCAGTGCTAAATTTCTGCAAATTGGATGCCAGTCCTTTCAGATGTCAGTGTCTCTGTGCTGACAGCTCAGAGCAACACTCCCATCTGATGTGGGTGATAAATTAAATGAAGCCATTTTAAAGCTTTATCAGAAGGGCAATCTTATGGAGATCGTAGGATCTGAGATTATATTTTCATCTAGCATTGTTCCTTGTTTGGCAGAAGAAATAAAATAGACTAAGAAAAGTTAGAACTGTTAGAATACTTCTATCTGTAACCATGTCCCAGAATCTTGAATTAGAAAGGTCACTGATATCTACCATATACAGCTGCCTAAATAAATCTTTCATCTCCATTATAAAAGTAGAGGCTTACTTGCTTTTTTCAACCTCTTTCAGCAGCTGTTTAGCTGGGTAGCACAAATTAAAGACTCTTCTGCAGAAACCTCTTATAGTGCTTACTGTCCCCTGTACTCTAACAGGCTCCTTCCTTGCCAGCTTTTAGGAAAACCTTAAAGACTTGGCAGTTTTCTCAAGCCTTATCTTCAATGAGTTCTGTTACTCTGTTTTAGGGTTTAACCAA